TTTAAATTTTTTAACACTTTTTTTTTTTTTTTTTTTTTGGTACCAGGGATCAAACTCGGGTCCTTCCCCTTGTGAGGCAGGAGCTGGAACCACTAGGCTAAATCCCCAGCCCAACTATTTACATGTTTTAAAAGTGAAATTGTAATGAGTAAACTGGGAGTTCACCTAGATGGCTGTTTGTTGAATTTGGAGATTTAGAAGCATACAAGCTTGTTCAAAAAACGTAGGGGAAAGTGGGGATTGTAGAACTTCTCTATATTAAAATATGCCATAAACAAATTTAGATCACAGATGGAAAAGTTTGCAATAATTACTAGCCAAAAAAGATTAGGATTACACTTATCTATAGATCACTTTTACAAACTGATGAAAGAATAATTTGGGTATCTTATATGATTGATGTTTACAGACACTAATTGAAAAATTTTAATTACATGGAAAATATTTATAGTGGCTAATGCTATTTTTCTAGTATTCGTGTGTTCACTCACTTTTCTGGGCACTCTTCACAGTCGCTCATTTAATGTGTGCTGGTGCTGTTGTTCTTGCCCTGTAAACTGGCAAAGTGCACAGACCGGCCTAGTGACTCACCTCAGATGGCCCAGTGTGGGTTTGTGGGCAGCACGGCTGGGGAGAGGAGGGCAGGACTTGACACGGGACGGGCCAGCTGCAGGGCCTCCCTGGCTACCCTGCTTCAATATGGGAATTGGAGGACAAGGATGTAAAAGCTATGTATTTGATCCTATTTTGTAAAAAATATGTGAGCATTTGTACATACATACAACTTAATTTGTATGTAAAATTTTATACAGTTGCATACCAGAAAAGACTGATGGTGTTTTGATATTTTTTTCTAAAAGTGGTTACTTCCTCTAATGGGATTTGGGGTAAATGTTGTTTGAAGCTTAAAACACCTGTGTTTCGCACATTTTGTATCGTAATGATGGAACCACTTAATGATCACAAAATAAAGTTTTAAATACTGGGTATTTCAAGTTTGCCTTGTGGATGTGCGTGGAGCCTTTAGGCCACCTTTGGAGGCTCAGCCGTTGTTTGAGTCCCCATCTTCCATCCTGAGGGCAGGGTAGCAAGTGCTGTGTTGAAAAATTTGAGAGCCAAGAGGAGTCTTTGAAGCCAACTGTCTTGTTTCTCAGATAAGAAGCCTGAAGCCAGAATAGATTTGACTGAGCCAGGCTCGCTGACAGTAGGCCCTGTAGAACCAGTCCTGTGACTCCCCGGGCCTCCCTCTCTGAAGCCCTGAGGCTCTGCTCTCACACTGGCCTATGGGACACCATTTGGAGCGAAGGGGAGACTGAACCAGGCTTCTTTCAGGCGTGTGCTTTAACAGCAGCCTCTGGAGACTCAGCGGGAGGGGCTTGGGGCCACTTTTATGACCCCGGAGGTCACTGGAGGATTCTCCTTGTGTCTGCAAGATCCTGGGAATTACCCCCAGGGGTGGCAGGCAGCACACACCAGCGAGAAGATACTGAGGGCAAGAACACTAACTAGCAGCAGCCCCTTTGGCAGACCTTTTAAAACAGAAAGCCATTCCCTTCTTTCCAGCTCCAGGGCCCACGACAGCTGTGAATTACCTGTCGGTGAAGTGTGTGGATATCCGGAAGAACCACCACAAGGCAAAATGGCTGATACCTTGGGGCCTCAACAAGTGTGACAAGATCCAGGACATCGAGGAAGCAATTCCGCGGGAGATCGAAGCCAATGACATCGTATTCTCCGTCCACATTCCCCTCCCCAACATGGAGATGAGCCCCTGGTTCCAGTTCATGCTCGTCATCCTGCAGCTGGACATTGCCTTCAAGCTCAACAACCAAATCCGTAAGTGTGAGCTCCTCCGAGTTCCCTCCTTCCGGTAGAAAGGGGAAGGACGCTACTAGCAGATCAATGCTGCTTGCTTGCTGTTTACTCAGTGCTTTTACCTCTCAGTCCGCGCACCCTTCTCAGCGACCCCGAGGTAAGTCTCAACAGTGTGTCAGTTTGTAAATGAATCCCTTGGACACCTGTCGGATTGTCCGAGACCAGAAGATCAGAGAGGGGCAGATCTGGGGCCTTAAGTCAAGGTGTCACCTACAGTGCCAGGAGGGTGCTCGTTGTGCAGCGTGCTTGAGGGCTTTGGAAAGCTCCTCTGGCCTTCAGTGCCTTTTCTCTCTGGGCTTGGAGGAAGAGCCACATCAAAATAGGAGCCCACCAGCAGCCACAGTTTTCGTACTAAACCAGGTTATTTTTCCGGCTTGGTCAGTTGTCCTTCAGAGCCCTGTGGGTAGCTGATGGCACGGTTTGCCAGAGGTGGCATGGGGGGTATCTCAGCAGAGGTCTGGTGTCACCTGGGGACAGCACTGGGAATTTGAGTCGAAACAGAATCAGGAGTGTGAAGGACAGAGCAAAGAGCGACAAAGACAGCTCTGCACAGTCCCGGTCCATGGCCTGAAGCATTCTTTCTACTTACAACTTTTCTAAACCGACAATAATGATGGCATGTAATTATATCAGTCCTATTGTGTTCAAGAATTTAAGCTGTCTGGGTATCTGACTGACCTCTTGCCTGGAAGGAGCAGACAGATTGTGCCAAGATAATTTTCTAGAATATAGAATTTTCTCCCCCGCCAACCCCTGGTACAGGGAATTGAACTCAGGACCTTGTGTTCACCAGGCAGGGGCAGCAACACTGAGCTAAGTCCCTGGCCCTAGAATTATCTTTCTCCCATCCATCCCACAATTTCAAATGGTTTGGATGCCCTGGTGACTGGCCACGTAGACACAGGTGGAGAAGCTGTCCTTCAGTGGTTACAGTCAGGTGGAACTGATATCTAGGAACCAACCATGGCTGCATGGCATGGTGGGAGCTGTGACCAAAAATTCTGGAAGGGCACAGGAGCCTAAGGAAAGGCCTTAGTGCTGGGGACAGGAAGCCAGCACCGACAAGTGTATTGGTGGGAGGAGGATGTGTTAGTCAGCTTCCCGTCACTGTGACAAAATTCCTGATAAAAACAGCACAAAGGAGGAAAGGTTTTATTTGGGCTCCTGCTTTCAGAGCTTTCCTTTCACGGATCTCTGTTTTCATTGCTGTGGGCCTGAGGTGAGGTAGAACCTCGAGGCTGAAGGGCCTGGCGGAGCAAAGCTGCTCACCTCATGGGAGCCAGGATGCAGAGGGGAAGCAGGCGAGGACAGGACAGTCCTCACCGACACTCTTTGGTGCCTACTCCTTTCCACCAGTCTGCCTCTCCGAAGTCTTCATCGCCTCCCAAGAAAGCCATCAAATTTAAGTCCGCGTTGGGTCAGGGCACTGAGAAAATCAGAGTCCTCATGGTCCATTCCCCAAAGCCCATCGGCTATGAAGCCTAAAACACAAAGAGCCTTTGGGGGGACATCTTGGAACCCAGCCCCAACAGGAGTGCGCAGAGGTGAGCAGGTGACACCTGGGTGAGGGTTAAAGAGGGAAAAGCTTGGCCAATCATAGTGGTGACAGGGTGGGGGTTGAATTGAGAAGTCAGTGGGAGGAACATTCTGGAAAGAAATGGCCAGCGTTCAGGTGATGTTTTCCACGGCCCCAGCCCTTCCTCATTGGTTCACTGGCTGTGCAGCACAGTCAGCCATTCACTCGTTCAACCTGTGTTAAACTCCAGCCACGTCAAGCAAGAGCTACCACAACATACAGTTATACAAGATATGTTATTGTAAGGGATTAGGGAGGGAGGCCTGGAAAAGAGACACTTTCAGTCACCCGTGTGGTTTAGGACGAGGAATACACAACAACAGGCAACCTTTGGGAAGGAAGGAAAGAGTTAGCTGTGTGATGTGCCTAATATGATTTCACAAGCCTAAGAGTTAGGTTTCTGCAGCCTTAGTCCCAAGAATATATGCAAGAAAAGGAGGGCGGAGGGGAAGAAGAGCCATAGGAAAGTGAGGTAGGCAGATGGCCTGACACACCTTTGGGTGGAAAACCCAAGGACACAGCATCCTGTCCTCTGGGCTGGTTGCTTGCTTTTTGTCTCAGGTCGTCTGTCTCCCGCTGGTATCTCTAACTCCAAAGATAAAGGAGAAGATTTACGGAACTGATTTACACAGTTGCTGTCCATTGGCTGAGTTGGGGCTGGGTAACAGATCCCGAAATTTAGCAGCTTGAATCCCTGCACACTGATTTTGTCCCCATCTCTGTGGGTCGAGGATCTGAGCACAACTTGGGCCAGGGTTGCTGGCTGCAGGACCGTCAGAAGGCGGGGAGGCCGTGCAGCTCGGGCTGGCTTCAAGCTCACCGGTGTGGCTGTCGCATGCGGCAGACCCCAGACCCCATCCCTCTGCGTGTGGGTGTCGCCTCCAGGATGCCCACAGCAGGGCTGCTGCCTCCTCTGGCCGTGGCTGTCCGGGGAGAGTCACATGCTATGGCTTCCACGGCAGAAGCCAGCTGTGTGTAGCCTGCATCCCCGTGGTGTCACCCTAGGGGACAGGCCACTCAAAGCCATCTCACGCACTGCCAGTCACAGAGGCTGAGATCTCTTTTGAAACGCGGCCCCTGGTCTGTGTCCAGATGCAGCAGTAGGAGAGCAGAATGCCTAGGGGAACAGGCCCGGGAGTCCTGGGGTCTAAACCTCCGCACCGCCCCCGGGCAGCTCTGCAGCCCTGAGCCGGTCCCCGTGTCCGCTGCCAGTTTCCTCGCCGGGAAACACGGGTAACAGTGTAATGGGTGGAAACACTCGGAGGAATAAATTAGGCTAGGTTATGGGAGCCCAAATGTGATTTAAACATTAAAAAGCGGAGGTAAAAGAAGCCCTGCGGTTATCCGGCCAGCCGTCTTCCTTTTCTCGCTCTTCTGCCTGCCGCATCCCAACAGCGGGCCAGGTCTTCCTAAAGGAGGCAGAGCCGGAATCCTCCCCGCGACCGTGCAGGGTGAGCCCGGCCCGGCCCAGCCTCTTCCTCCTCCGTGTCCTCTTCCCCACGGACCCTCCCGCCATCGCCCTCTGCCCCACAACCTCTCCGCGTATCTCCTGTTGTTATTTCCCTATTTCCCTCCCAGATTCACTCTCTCCCCCTTGAAACGTCTCTCCTTCCCGGCCTGTGCTGTCCATGCTGCTAGCCTTGGAGATTTCCTTCCTTCCCAGGGCTCCTCACGGATCGAAACTTCCCAGTGCGCAGTTTGTGCCCTGAGTTCGCCTGTCATCCACGGCTGTGTGCGTCCCCAACGGCGGGGAGAAACATTTCCAGGGCTGCGGTGTTCTGCAGAGGCAGGAGCAGGAGCAGGAGCCGGAGGAGGGGAAGGGAGAACATAAAGCATCTCGGGGAGGTGCTCGCCTTTTTGTGCTCTGCAATGAGATTTTCGTTATTTGAGTGACGTTTCAGTAAGGAATAACCCCCACCACCGATCCGGCTGCAGCTCTTCACCTGGTGCTTGTACTGATCGGGTTGTGGGTAAGACGCCGCACACCGCCTCCCCGCAGCCTGGGTCTGAGACCGCTGCGTTCATGCTGGAGCCTGACGCTGGGGTAGCTCTTGGGAAGCCTGGTTCTGTGTTCAGGCTGTAAGGACAGAGTGGATTATTTCACCATTCTGACTTGTGTGCTGTTGAAAGTGACCGACCTGTGATTCAGAACTTCAGCATCAGAACTTCACGCCACAGCCATTTAGTAAAACCGTTCGCGGTCCCAGGCGAGTTCATGGCAAGTCGTAAGTGTTGATTTCTCAAATTTAATCATAACACCAAGTTTGGGGAACGAGTCTTCAGTTTGTTTAGTGAATGTTTGTATACTGAACATGTGTTGTGTTTGTTCTTTTTGGTACCATGGATCGAACTCGGGACCTTACCTTTGCAAAGCAGGCAGTGGAACCACTGAGCTAAATCCCTGGCCCTGAAAATGTGTTCTTAAGAAAACTTGGCCAAGAATGTGAAATAACTCAAATGTTTTTACCTACTTCTGTTTTAACCAGGTACCCAAGCAGTTTTCTGTTCATCATAAGTATTGAAGGGCCAGGGATTTAGCTCGGGGGTGCTGCCACCTGCCTCGCAAGCACAAGGTCGCAAGTTCGATCCCTGGTACCCAAAAATAATAATAATAATAATAAGTGTACTGAATATTTTGGAAGTCTTCAGACTCACATGAAATATATTGGAAACTCAGTATTCACAATTATTGGCTTCAGAAATACAAACAAAATTATAAAACTCGTATCTTGAGCACTTCTCCCAAACAGGAAACTAAGAAATAGTCATACATATGTTATTTTGTGAGTGCGTCTGTGTGTGTCTGTGTGGCATTGGGAATTGAACCTAGGGACTTCCCACTGAGCTAGCTAGCTAGCTAGCTTGCTTGCTTGCTTGCTTGCTTTTTTGTACTGGGGGAGTGAACTCAGGACCTTGCCCTTGTGGGACAGGCATGGTGTCATTGAGCTAAATCACTGGCCCCTGAATTAGGGATAGAAGGACTCACTAATTTGCCAAAATTTCAGTTTGAACTGAACTTGCAGTCCTCCTGCCTCAGCCTCCCACAGCACTGTGATCACAGGTGTGTACCACCAGGCTTGACCGTATATTTTAAGTACTTCATAGATGAATCAGCTGTCAGCAGACGTTAACCCTCAACAACAAAAATGCCCAAAGTGCAAAAAGTCTTTAATCAGAGCATTTCTGAATGTAAATCAGGTACGAACATCTTGGCTCTCTTTCCCTCTCCCATCCGCCTTCTGGCTGCAGGACATGCGCTATGCTCACTGTGGCCTGAGCAGGTCCCTCAGTGGCTCATGTGTGGTCACCAGTGTGGTCGCTCTGGGAGGTAGAGCAGAGATGGGCTCGGTGGGAGTGGGGAGGTCCCTGGGGGTTCCCCTGGAAG